CTCTTTCTTTTTTTGATCAAAAGGCCAATTAGAAATTAGAAATTATAGCTGCCCTTCAAATTTTCAAAAAAGATAGGAATTCAATTTCCAGTCATGCAATCATTTATATGCAGGATTGGGGTAATAACTGCTTTGCTTGTTACCTTTCTTTCTTATATCACAGTGCTGAAATACCAGAGGACTTTATGCTTCCTCAGTGTAAAAATCTTCCCTTATTCCCAATGATGGAGTGTCGTTAAGATCCCAGAATATACAATTGAAATAATAATTCTACCTTGTGGGACTATATATAAATATATACATATACATACGTATACATAATGTATTATACACATACATATGCATATGTATATTATATGCCACTGAGAATCATGTTCTGTGTGATGGGTGGTTATATAAATATGATAAATAAATATACCGTGTGTCTGTGTGTAGCATTTATTTATCATATTTACATACCCACCCATCTCAGAGAATATGACTCTGAGTGGCATTCAATAAAAATACAGAGTAAAAACTAACAAAAAACATTATATAATTAAAAATACTAGTCTCAATGACAGAGTATCAGAGAGAGCAATACAGCCATCTCAATAATTCACCATTACCTTGCCTGATGACACAACTGTATTTTAAGGGACTTCTGGAGTATTATCTGGGACAGGACAGAATGATATTCAACAGGGCAGGAGCCATGTTAGAAAAGGACAGTCTTCGAGATCCTGCCGCATGATACTCCTTTGCAGATCGGACCCATAACATATTGCTTATGCTAGACCTAATAGGATGAGCAGATGTAAACAGATGGAGATGTTCCCCAGGTACCCTGGTCCGATGCCATGGAGGGCTTTCAAAGTCAAAAGCAGCATAATGAATTGAACTGGCAACCAATGCTGTCTGCAGAGCACAGGTGTAACATGTGACCTTCTAAAGACATATATAATTACCAATTCATCAATGCATTTTATACCAGCTGAAGCTTGCAAACACTCTTAGGGCAGTGTCATGTGGAGTAAATTACAAGAGTCAATCTGGGAGCTGATCAGAGTGTGCGTAACTGTGAGGAGAACCTCCAATCCAGGAATAAGGGCAACTGGCACACAACAAAAAGTTGTGCAAAGGCTTTTCTACCCACCACTGCTGCCTGCTCTTTGAAAAGGAGTTAGAGGTCAACTAAAAGTGTGTAACCAATGCCATTGCCATCCCATATTCAAGCCTAAATCCTGAGTAAAGAGGTTCAGATAATGCATCATTCAGAATTCTTTGAAACTGCTATGTAACCATCTTTTCAACTACCTTCCTCCAAAAGGGAAGGTTAGATATTGAGTGAAAATTAGCCAGTATGATGGGATTGAGTAATTGTTTCTTGAGTAGGGATGAACCACTGCTTCCTTAAAAAGTGAAGGAATAACTCCTCATTCAAGGAGGAATTCACCATTGCCAGAACCCACCCACATGAATGGGCAGCTTTAGTTAGCCAGGAGTGGCATAGGTTTAAGGAGCAGTTAACTGAGTTCACAATCCACTTCCTCCAGACCAACTGGTTGAATCTCAGATAACCAATCTCAGATAACATGACATGATGCTACCCTTGGCATCTCCCTAAGACTGCAGTAAAACCAACATCCAACTGAGAATGGATATGAGCAATTTTGTTCAACAGCTGCTGAGCAAATTCTTCGGCCCAGCCTGGTAGTAGAGTCTCTGAGCCCCCTCTACCAAAGAAGGACTGTGTCATCCAAAACAAAGTTATGGGGCAGCTACCTATGGATGAAGTAAAGCCAGAGAAGTACCGCAGCTTTACCACCCTTACTGCCTCAAGGTTGTTGTTGTTAGTTGAGAAGTCATATCCGAACATTCCTCCAGGCCTTCTTGTTCTCTACTATCTCTCAGAGTCCATTTAAGCTCACTCTGACTGTTAAATATGTATGACACCTTATTAATATTAATGTACGTTGTATAATGTACGAGTCTGACGTCAGACTTCACTCATTGGTCCAGCCACTGGTGGGAATAATAAAGCACTGTCAGTGGCTGAAATGTTGGACAGCGCCAGCTATAAAAGCCGGTGCCTGTTGCGGCTTGCCGCTTTTTGTTCCTGAACCTCTAATAAAGAGTTTTCCTGCATCCTATGGTCCTGCCTCTTCCTTCTGTGCGCCCATTTTATACCGACTGCTTCAGTGACTCCATCCAGCCACCTCATTCTCTGTCGTCCCCTTCTTCTTTTGCCCTCAATCTTTCCCAGCATTAGGCTCTTCTCCACTGAGTCCTTCCTTCTCATTAGGTGGTCAAAGTATTTGAGTTTCATCTTCAGGATCTGGCCTTCTAAAGAGCAGACTTTAATAATAGCTCTAGCCCATATTTGGTCACATTTATCCCTTGCCAAATACCAACAGTTCTAGATGTCTCTTCTCTCATTTCATCTCCCTCAATTCTTCAGTGAGTCACTGGATGTTCAGATGGACTATGTAGCAGACCAGAAACAACCCCCAGTTCCCTGATCATCAACTCATCATGGTCCATCGGTCTCCAAATGGGGACCAATAGAATAAGTCTTGCCTCCCTGCAGTGGATAGTAGCAACAGAGAATCCTGTGGTAATCAGGGCATGATGTGCCCATGACAAAAGGGATATGAAATACAACATACATTATATATCTTATCAGATTAAAGTTATGGCATTTCCAACAACATAGCAAAGCTCTGTATCATTGCTTGCCTCACAAGTGGTCTGCTGGTTAGTGTCCAGTTTCTGTCCTTTTTTCTATAAATTTTTTATAACACTGTAAGCTCATCTCTTGATCATAAGAGTTAAATATATAGTTTATTGAGACTGATAAAGGCTGAAGCTTTTGAAGAATCAAAAGTTACCTTAGAAAAGTGGGATATTATACTTTTTTTCTGTCGGTTTTCAAGTTTTTCTGCAAAACAGGAAACAATTTTTTCCTATTCTAACTTATTTCATTCATTTGTTTATCAAATTTGTATGTTATACATGTCATTATTGAGTGAGTCTAAGCTGCTTTAATAAATTTAAATAAATTTAAATTATTTTAAAATTATTTATTAAATTTATTAGATTTAGAATAATTCTAATGATTAATTTAGATATATGTAGTGATATACCTTATGTTTTGAAGTTGTTCCCTCTGTTAATATTTTGGTTTTTGAAGGAAATGTTTTAATACAATACTGTTGAAGATAATAGGGACTTGAAGTTTAAGATATTAAAAAGAGCTAGGCTGAATATTGATCAACAAAAATTGAATTGATTTATAGCAATTGTCTTTTCTTCTCCCAAAGGCTAATAAAGATGTCTAGTCCTTACATGAACAATCTCATTATTCTTGGGGGAATGCTGTCCTATGCATCTATATTCCTTTTTGGGCTTGATGGATCTTTTGTTTCTGAGAAAACATTTGAGACTCTTTGTACTGTAAGTAATTCTGAACTATTTCATATAACATTCATATTTCTATAAAATTTTTCTATACTTTCATTGCAAATACATATGCATTCGAAGTTTGAAACACTGCAACTTTGATTAAAACATCCAAATATTTGGAAAAATACAGAGACTTTCAGAAACAAATATATTTTACACTGTTTAAATTTTAGTGCAATGTTAATAAAAGAAGGTGGAAGCATATATGTACCACAGTGATTTAATGATCTCAGATTGGCCACTAGTTTCCTCTAATGCTATGTGCAACAAATCAGGATGATGCCAAAATAAGAACACATGCATAGTGACATCATCACACAAATGCCATGTATGGATATGTATTCCAGTGTTTTTTCTAAAAAAATCATTTTTCAAAAGTTGTACAATACAAAAAAAAAACAGTATAAACTGAGATCAGAAAGAAAGAAGAGAATAGGAAGAAAATAAATACAAAATGCAAAGGAAAAAAAGAAAAGAGAAGAAATAGAAAAAATATTTAAAGAAGTAGCTACTTATCTTCCTTGCAACAATTACTGACAAATAAATATTTCCTCACCTCCTATGAGATTGAAAACACAATTCACTTCTTCACATAGCTCCTCCACTCATTTGTAAATCCAAACTACTGTGTTTTCTATCCAGATGTCAGCAAGAAATATCTATAAGGTGTCCAGGCTTCTATAGAAATAGTTCTCATTTTAATCCTGATCAAACAAGTCAACATTAATTTATATTCCTTTCTTTTGCTTCTGCCAATTTTAATCTTTAATTAATCAAGTTGCTGCCATGGTATTGAATCTCCATTCAAATTTTCCTTTTCTCAAATTTTTTTTCAAGGCTTCAGAAACTTTTTTTGTAAATCCAACAGTAAGTCCTTGCCCAGGTCAGATTAAATCTCATAGTTATCATTTGTAATTCCACTTTGATTATCATCTCTTCTTTATAATCCAGTTTCTTTATTTTCTTTATTACATCTACATTATCTGGGATTTGTTTCATTTCTTCATCCTGTCTGTCTATAAATTCTTCCATGTTGTCCTTTCACGTCTTTTACTTTTTTAGAAATTTCTTCAAATAATGTATTACAGATGCAGAAATTATTACTGTCATCTTAAGTATATATTTCTCTCTACAGTTCTTAAAAATGTTTTAAATGTCTCAGATGATATACTTTTGACTTTCATTTTGTAAATTACACTTATTTTTCCTCCCTAGAACTTTAGTTCCCTCTAGTGTCACATTTTGTATTCCCAAGATCTGAAGTTTCTTTGTTTCTATTTTCAACCTTCATCCAGTAAACTTTTTCTTAATAGACTAAACCATGTTCCTACAAAACATTGTTTTGTGTGCTCAGTTTTTCAAAAGTCATAGAAAAGTTCCAATATTCCAAATTTGTCTATTTAAAACTTTGTTAAAATTAAGTTCTTATTTCGCTTTTTGACATTTTATTTTTACAGTACCTTACACTGTTAATTAGCTTTTCTTCTTTTTTAGGATGAAGTTTTACTTATCAGGTAGCTTTTCAAATATTGTTTGGAAAATCTTTTTAATTTTGAAATAATTGTAAATCCAAAAGTGATAAGAAAGTGAGGTAGACAGACTCAGTATTCTCAAAGACTCCACTTGAAGTTGTGAGCTTCCCTTGTCTTTCCGACCTCAGACCAACAGGTCAACTACTTTCTGAGCAAGTTGAAAAGAGCAGCTGTCTGAAGCTCAGGTGGGCAATTTCTCATCCTCTTCTTATCCAGAGAGGTTCCATTGGACTGAACTTACAACTAAATGATCAGTCATCAGTTGCATCATCATCCACTCTTTTGGAGATATTCAGTTTACCATTTATTCACCCAGAATTCTCCAACTTGTTTTTCAATGTCTGATGCAAGTATGTAAGCCACAGAATTTGTGTGATGATGCCATAATGCATGTATCTTTGTCCTTTCTCTGGATGCTTTTGATCTTACAGTCTGTTAAACAGTTGCTTGAGAAGGAAGCTGTTGCCAACACCCAATTCTAGATTTTCCTTTGCGACACTCCTTTCATACATTATTTTCACTCTGGATTGTGCATTTAATCTTATCAAGACTTTCATCGAGCAATCTGTAGCATATGAGATTCATATCTCTCTCTGCTTTTTTCCCCTAGTTTAAAACTACGGTATTAATTGGTTTTAATATTGTCAACTATTTTGATGAAGTCCTGGCTAACTACATAATGTCTAAAGTAGTCTCAAAGAACTGTCAACCAATATACCCCTTTTGACTCTCTTGCTAAAGCACTTTACTAATGTAATTTATTAATCTTTAAAAAGAAGCACTAACTTATTATTTTGTATGGATTTCATATTCATTTTTTCCTATAGACTAAAAAGTCTATGATTGATAATCTTGCAAAATACAAATCTGAGGAATACTTTGCTAAATAACACTTTAACAAAAGAAAATTTTAGAAGGGAACACTGTATTAGAGTCGGCATTTAACTGGAGAACTGTGCTGATGCAGCAGACAGTAGAAGAGGAGAAGTAGAGGACATAATAGAAAGGTTTGAAAATAGGAAAAGCTTATCACAACAAATAAATATTTGCGTAGTGTTATTCTACTTATATATATCTACTAGACATTATTTGTGCCATTGATATCTTTTAAACAGTATGGGAGAAATATAATTACAAAGTTAAATACAAAAAGTTAAATATTCAAATGTTAAAACAAAGAATTTAATCCTTTGAAAAGCCTTAATTATAATGTACGAAAAGAAATTATAGAGGAAACAGAAAATCCTACAGCTAGGAGGAAGAGATTGGAAGTTAAAAATAAAAAAAATATACTTTTTTTTTTAAAAAAAACCTGAAAATTAGAGCTTTTACCACTTTGACTGCATAGTTAAGTGCTAACTGATTATTTTAGCCATTATTTATTATTTCTCTCAAGTTATGGTTTTTAAGCTTCTTAACGGTAATTCACAGTGTTATATTGAGTTTTTTGTGTATGTTCCTGTAATTTTACATTTAAAAAAAACCTTTCCAATTTTGGGTATATACTTATTGAGAAATTCAATCATATGACTCTTTTGAGCAGTATTATTTATGGTTAAGATTATAATGGGAATCTTACGTTTCTTATGGCCAAACCTGTTTTATATGCCACCTAAAAAAATTTGCAGTAAGAAAAGTTGATTGAGAGATTAATTGTATTATTATTTTGCTCAATCGGAATATAAAAACAGAATCATTCTAAATTTTTTTAAAAAATAGTATAATTAAACACATGTAGTCAATTACAATATTTTAATAGTAACAGTTAAGGCACGAATCTGAATGATTTGCTATGTCCTAATGGTTCAAGGAACAATTGCAAGTGATTTACACAATTATGGAAACAATTAGGCATTAAATATGCTCTCAGATTGTAGAATTCCTCTTTCAGAAATCTAACCCCATCCAAGGTAAATAATCCCCAAAATCAAAGTTTGTTTTCCTACTCACCAATATCCCCTTGTGCCTCATCTGTATTTAATTTCTGTTCATTTACCATTACCCATCTTATTACTGAATTTGAGGATAATTCAACAGCAGAAGAATGTAGTTTTATTTAAAAAGTAAACAGTGTAGAAAATAAGATGGGTCTCTATAACACAGCATAGGTTAACTTCCAGGAAATTATACCACCAAACAGGAAAGACTGTTGTGTGCTCAAATGAACAATCCAGTAGGATATTTAAGTAAGTTCTATCAGCAACAGAATTATTATTGCTACACCTTTATTCTGAGTACCTTTTCTCGGGGGAAATAATTTCTTTCTTTATTAAGAATTTTCACCATCACTTCTATATCATAACAGATCAGCCAGGGTTTTGTCAGTATTATATACAAGTAATAGTGGAAAAATATAGAACTGACTTCTTCTGAGATATGGATTGAAAGTATTTTAGTCTCAGAAAAGAAGGGAAAGAAGACAAAGTAATTCAGCATGGATATTATAGTTTCAGAATGTAAAATATAGCATAGTAGAAATTGTAGTGGTTAACTAGTTCAGGAACTATTAACCACTGAAATGGTATGCCAACAATATCCTGGGTACCCAGCCTCAACCAATATATGGAATTAGCAGACTGTTAAATGAAGTTTGCAATCATACAAATTCAAGTTCTACATTATGACAGCTACATTGCAGAAAGAATGGGACAAAGGAGAACAGGAAAGCAATATCACAGTCTTTGGAAGAATCCCAAGATTTTCAATTATTGTGTCAAAAGTATTCCAAGGAAGGACAAGACTGAAGGAGATCCAATTTCCTAACAAGCATATGTGAATATGAACTTTGAAGATTTTATCTGGATTCAGAATTACAGCCTCAGAAGAATGATTACTGTATTATGATATGCAACTGTAGAAGTTCATTTGCATTGCCATAAATTATGCAGGAGATATGTATGGGTATGATTTGCTGGATTAATATGAAATCTTTTCTAGGAAATTGCTGATGAAATGTTTAATTTATTTCTATTCTGTTGTAATAACTTCCGCTGTGTTAGGAATGTCAGTTAACGCATTCATATGCACATTTATTACAAAAGGCCCATTGAACACAGTGGAATTTATTTTTGAAAAAAAAAACCATGCATGGATTGTTTGTAAAATTAAACATGTCCCTTTGTCTTCTACTTTCTTTTTTTCCTACAGCATAACTATGTGGCTTGGATATTATTTCCCATCAAGCTACATTATTTGAAGCAAGACAAAATTTGGTTTGTTTCTGATAGTGTCAACATAGCAGACACTGTTTCAACCCTATTCTGTAGCCCTGTATATCGATGAGCAGTATACAGATTAGCCTTCGATTTACAACAGTTCATTTAGTGGCTATTCAAAGTTACAGCAGCCCTGAAAAATGTGTCTTATGAATGTTTTCCATAGTCCTGACTTTTCTAACGTCCCCATGATGAGGTCTTCTGAGACCTTCTGACAAGCAAAGTCAATGGGGAAGCCAGATTCATTTAACAACCGATTAATAACTTATCAGCTGTGGTGATTCACTTAACAACTGTGACAAGAAAAATCGTAAAATGGAGCAAATCACAAAGGTCTCACTTAACAACAGAAATTTTGGGCTCAGTTTGTGGTCGTAAGTCGAGGACTACCTGTACCAAGGAATAAAAGCAAAGTGATTGCATATGCTTAAGTATACAGTACTTCACATGGGCACAAAACATCTAGATTGGTTTTGAGAAGCCATCCTCATCTAATGATTTACTTGATTAAGATGATGTTTTAAGTTGGATTCCTAATGTTTGCCTCTGTTACCTTGTGTTCTTCTGGAACAATAAATTTGCCTTTAATGAAGTGGTTAGTGAAAAGTAGAGCATAAAAAAACGATAAAAAAATGCTAGCAAAGCAGCTTTCTGCATAATCAACATGGCCAGCTGAGTAGTCTGTCCCGCACTCAAATACTTATACTTTTTATCTTCCTTTTTACTCTCATTGTCCGATGGACAAGCAGGCAACCTTCTGACAGCCAGTTTTTAAAGATGCATCTAAGGGCTGCAGTAAGTGGGTCTCTAACCTGTGCTGTCATCAGAATGGATGGATATAGGTTAATTTGGGGGTCCATCAAAGAATAGCAGTTGTGTGGTTATTTTTATATTTCACATGTATTAATTCTGAATCAAAGCCTATACAATATTTGAATATTTTTTCTATTAAAATATAATAGGAAATTGCATTTTGTTTTTGATAATTTGTTACCAAATTTGGTAATAAGACCTGTGGGAGTTCTTGGAAGATTATAGGCTTGCAGTCATCAATGTAGTGCCTCCTTTTTAATTTTTAATTCTTTTTTTAACTGTAAATTTATTTTATCATATTTAGAAATCCAATTGAAATCAATAGAACTGAAATTTATGTTTCCCTGCACTTTGGACTCATTTGGATATTAACATTATATTTATTATTTGTTATTCTGATTTACAACTAATTCATTTTTTTATGGAAAGTTATAAATGTTATTTAACAGAATAATTTAACAATTCCAATGTTTTTTGCCTAAATCTTTTCCCCTTCACTAAACCTGCATGTTTGTTTGCAAGTCATGAGTTTGCAAGTCATGAGGGAGGAGAAAAAAAGGTCTTTTCTTTGTTTCAGATCCGGACATGGATTCTTACAGTGGGTTATACTACGGCATTTGGAGCAATGTTTGCAAAAACATGGAGGGTCCATGCAATCTTCAAAAATGTAAAAATGAAAAAAAAGGTGAGTTTTTAAAAAATAGTTCTGTTAGTTCATGTCTGGTTGCTTCTACTTTTTTTGTCTAACTGCTGATCAAAAAATATCATTGGAAATCTTTATTGATTATTTGCTTGAACATGTTGCCTATTTTCCATAGCTGCTTACATTCTTGTATCTTACATTGGATACTTATACAAAGCCATAAATAATGTCATAAATTGACATTTGACTTGAATCAGGTTTAGAAGTCCCGAGATGGAGGGGCTTTGAATTGTGAAAGCAATCCAACTGAAAAAAAAGTTCTTAAATATTAAACCAGACGTCTCTGCAATTGAAATTTGTTGTCATGGTTGATATATTGCCATTTTGTTCTTATGGCCCAAAAGAAAGAATTGGCTTGATGCACACCTGACTTACAGATGTAATTCCAATTTAAAAAGTTGGGTAAGGAAACTCTCCCAAACATTCTTGAGTTTAGCATTTGCAATTTTTTAAATGCTGGATAGAGTAGATTCATTAATTCAATAGACTACATCCCTAGGTATAGGATGGACAGCTTCTATTGTGTAGTATTGTAAGTAATATTATAAGGTAGATACATTGAGGCTGCATATGGTGTGCAATTTTGGATGTGAAATAATATATTCTTCTAAAATGGGTGTAATTTATGATTGAAGCTGTATAGCTTGGACCTGGGCATATTGCCACTGCTTATTTTTTTTGTATAGCTGTCAATCAAGACTGATAGAAATCATGATATATGACTGCCAGGGGCCTTTGTCTTGTATTTCATTGGGTGGGTCTTCCTTTGTAATCTGCATGTCACTGGCCTTTTGTCAAAAACAGATTTGGCAAATGCAGGTTGGGGAATTACATATTCTATGGTGTAATCTGTATGGAAGAAACAATGAACTGTTGGAAATAATAGAGAATAGGTTTTCCTTCATGGAGAGTTCCATATTTTGTGAATTAAGTGCAAATTGTGTGGGTGGAATGGAATGTTCTATCTTGTGTTTCTTAGGCTAACAATTTTCTGACTTGTCCTTCACAAGTTTGAAGTTTCTAATTTTAATTAGGCAAAAATAATCAACTCCTAAGATTTTGCCTTCTATCTTTAAAAAAATTGTATAGGAAGTACTGCACAGGGAAATGCTGAATTACATAGTATCCCTAGGTAGTTGATATGGTTAATGTAATATGTATAACCAGTTATTGTAGTTTATATGACAAAATTTGTGACATGACATGATGCAGAAATTCAACCATTTTGAGAACTGTAGCTTAATGCAATATGTGTTAATGCTATATCATGGAGAGACATAAATAAAAAATGCTGGTGCAACTAAACAGAAGTTGATTGCTATTTATTTACTGGGGAGATTTATATGATCACACAACTTGCATGATTGATTGGGACTTCAGCTAGCAAACATTAGTAAAAATAACAGAATTTATGAATTACAAGCAAAACCAATGATATCAAGAAAACTAAAGCAAAAGTGACATGCCATAGTGTACTGTTGGTCAACATAAACTTTATTTCCCAAAGATGGACTCCTCTTCTATTATCAGACCCAATGCCTGGGGAAAGGCTCAGGTTCTAAAAGCTTCGCTAAACGTGAACAGGTTCAAGACCAGTGAAATCTCGAGGGGTAGGAATTATTAAAAAGGACATCTGCTGCAACTCAGATGCTATACCTCCTAGACGTAATACTCCCATTGCTTCAAGGCAGGGACCTGGTGCATGCCCATCCTGTTAGAATAATAATCCGAAAAACAGCCTTGTTCTAATCTGTATGGGGATTCATATTAACTGGGACACTGAATTGCCCCCAGAAATCAATTGGAAGCTAATACAGCTGGTAAAGTATGGCATATCGGTAACTACATATACCACTACATTCTGAATTATTTGTAGCTTCCAGATAGCTTTCAAGGGTTGGCTCACGTAGAAGACATTGCAATATGGATATTGAGCACCTCATGCAGAGCCTTCTGATAGGTAGGAATGGGTAAAATTACTACAACACTTGAAGTTGTACAAGGGCTGTCCTGGCCATAGCTGTCACAACTCCTCAAATAGGAGCTTGAGATCCCCATTGAGATCCCATTACAAGTGCAACTAAGGCTCGATACCGTGTTCAGTTTGAAACCAAATTGAAAGTGGCCCCAGAATATGTTGTTCAATATGTAAAACAGGCACATTAAACCTCCAAGATATGTAAAATAAGAGCATTGACCTCAACTCCAAGCCACAAAAAGTTCCTGGTGATGTCATTGAGTCAACTGAATATTCTTGAGGGTACTTTTTTAAAAATATCCATTGAAGGAAGGGGTACAATGGATAAATCTATACCATAATTGATGTCTCCAAGATGCTTGGTTCTGAGATTAAAGATATGTGATACAAAGTTGAATCACCATTAGATTAGATTCTTCATTTCTTTGAATTTGGTAATGTGTTTTGGCACAAAAGTTGTTTGCAATAACGTATGCAAAACATGTACATAATGGGTATATTGGGGAAAAACTTTGTACTATTCCTTGCATTTTTTATTTTAAAAATGGATGATGGCACAGACATTGATTAAATAAATTTATAATTAAATATGTGTGAAACTTAAATGGATTTAGATGTATATCCATATTTAGAAACTGAAAGCTTACACAATTTAAAGTGTTCAGAATATAGCTTAGAAAGTAAGAGCAGTTCAATTGTAGCAATCACCAAAATCATTTTTCTATTAATAATACCCTTGTCAAATCTTAACAGTATAGAGTGGCAACATTAAGCTGCTTAAAGATAGAAAATAAATCTAAAAAATAAGCAAACATTTTGTGGCTGTTCTCATCCCACCAAGCTGTCTATAGAGAGGCCTCAAGTTTACTGGAACCTATTTGTACTATGGATGTATCCTTCCTAAGCAATGCTGAGGATAATATACTACGGAGGTAGATATGAAGATCCCTATAGAGATACAGCTAGTCCTCTCTTAACAACGAGAATTTCCATTGCCAAACAAAGTAGTTGTTAGGTGAAACACGTGGCCACCTTGCTCAATGCCAACAATTTTGGTAGTCCCGGTGCAATCATTAGGCCTGGATTTCTTCCTTCTCCTGCCCTCTCATGCTTACCTTTGCTTCAACTGCCCCCCCCCCAGCCTATCTCCCCACAGCTGCCGTCCCTTCACAAGGTCCTCACACAGCCTCACCGAATATTTGTGAAGCTGTACAGAGGCCTCGCAAGGCTTTGGGGAGATGCACCTCATCTTTAGTTGAAGTTGACAAACTGGTCTCCTCCTGTAGATTAATGTTAGTTTTCTTCTTAATTCATTCTAATTTATAAATACATATTGGGGGGGGGGTGTCATTTGATAGAGGTAAAAATCTTCATCCTAAATAAATTGAGCATGTCCAAATGCACTATTTAAATGCCATCTGTTGAAAATGAACTGCCAAATGGTGACTTATATTTAATGTTTCCCAGAACTGTCGTTTATTTCAAAATAAGAAAAAAAAAATAGAAACTTGGTACTTAAAACTTTAAAAAATGAATTAGAATATGCCTCATAATTTAATATGATCAATGGTATTTTTTTTCTAGAGCAGTGACAGTATAAAATTGTTTTTCTTGAATTTTTTGAGGTATCCCAAAATATTTTTAGCAAGGAGGATCAGATACCCTTTTAAAAAAAAACAACGCATTCTCAGAGGCAATGTGCTGGGGACCCTGTGCCAACTGATAGAGATCAAAGAAGCAAAAGGATAGCGCCAACGTCATCTCTCTTTTGGACATGACTTTTTTTCTACTGACATTCTCTTTTTCTTTCACCCACCCACCCCCGTCCCTTCCAATTCAGAAGACTGATTGTTTTTGTCAGAGTAATCACTTTTGCCCTTCCAGAAAGTCATGAAAACCAAGCTATTCTAGTGGGCTTTGGATAATTGAATTCATCATTCTAAATTAGACTGTTAATTATATATTATTGAATAATTATTATACAATTGCTGCTGGTTTTGGTGGTATTATTAAATTATGGCAATAGAAGTGTGTGCTGTTTACTATGAACATTTTGGTTATAGTTTTTGTAAGCTTTTAAATGCATTTGGGAGCATATAAATTTAATGTATCAAATTAAATTAACCTCTCGCTTCAAGGGTTGAGAGCCACAGGTTGCCCATCTCCAAACTAGGACAAGATGTATTGTGGGTTGTATCCAATCCAGGAATATGTAAATGTACAGTTGGGGACAAGGCCTACTGAAATCAAAGTTTCATATTTCTGAAAGTATATACAGAATTATATTTCTGCAAGTATGCAGAGAATTATAGTATAAATTAATGTCATTTCAGAACCCATTCAAAATAGTAATAATTATGTTAGATCATGAATGAGTGATTTAAATACTATCTAAATGCAACCGATTCACAGTTAACTCCATGGTTTCTATTAAATGAAGTATAGTGAGAACATGAACTGCATAAAACAAATATTTAAAACATGTTTCAGCAGTTTACAGACGTTAGCTTATTCATGTAACCTCAGTCTAATTTTAACAGCCTTTGGGGGGAAAAGTTGCCTTCTAGCAAGAGAGATCTGTCACTTCTAATTGTCTGCTGGGCAGGAAAAAAAATAGATGGCAGAAGAAAATAGAAGAGCAGAGGGCGTGAGAGAGAAAAGGTTTGACTGCTCATCACTCTCTTGCCTTCAGCCCTACTTTAGTAGATTATCCTGAAGAGAATGGTTTTTTTATTAGGATAGCAATAAGATTTTAATCTTAAGAGAATTTAACATCACTAAAGGTATTTCGGGAGAGCCAATTTGGTATAGTGATTAAGGTTGTTTGTCCCATTTTGGGACAAAGCCAGTTGGGTTGCTTTGTTTCTCTCAGCCCTGGGAAGAAGGCAGTAGCAAATCAATTCCAAAATCTTGCCAATAGAACTGTGGAAACTAATCCAGGCACTGGCCAGGATATGCTGGGATATGCAGTACATTATCTCAAATATCTAATACAACTGAGAGTTCAGTCTGCTCTGTTCCTGAAGAGGTGGGGTGGGGAGGAAGGAAAGAGAATTGGGAGTCCTCTTTCAGTGCAGTGTCAATATGTTTTTATTTTACATTACTGTTATGTAGAAGGGTAGTCAAAATTTCAAAAAGAACCTGACTTAAAATTTAACTGTAATTTCCTGAATTATTTAAGTTGCACAAGAAAAAAAAAAGTAAGGTGTTTTCTGTTTATGAAGAATGTATTTAAATTTCAACTTTTCTATTGTTGTCATATTGTTTGATTTATATATTTGTGGTTTTTAGACTGTACTAACAAACAAAAAATCAAATAAATGTAGGTTGCAAAATGAATTTTACTATGGTCAAGTAAATGAAGATCTTATCCATGCATAATTAAAATGTCCCATTAACTGTGCATTGTCTGATTTATGACTCTTAACAAAGACTCTAGAGTACCTCTGAATTCAATGTAAATATCTTCCTATATTCTATATTTTGTTTCCATAGATCATTAAGGACCAAAAACTAATGGTGATCGTTGGAGGAATGTTACTGATAGATCTTTGCATCTTAATTTGTTGGCAAGTTGTTGATCCTTTGAGGAGAACAGTGGAAAAATACAACATGGAGGTCTGTCATTCAGCTATTCTATATTAATGGTTTTCCAATTAGTTGTTTAAGATTATCATGCAAAATAAAATAAAAATATATCCAAAATATTAGGAATGTATCATTTAGTGGGTGCATATATCACAAATAGAATGTGTGTGTGTGTATTTCACATCACATAATGGAATCAAGCATCTCTACCATGCTTAAGAGGTTTTAGATGCAGAAATATTGTAAACACAAGGGAGTTGTCTACTAAAAGTCTATAAGAGATGGTGTTGCAATAAATAATAGATTTTCGGACTCCATTAGCAGATTCATGAGAAACTAATGCAATCTACACATAAAATAAAAGCATAATATGAAGTTCCAAAGATCACTTTATCAAAACTAAGCTTCCTTTTCTACTGTTGATCTTTAGGTATTATAACATCACTGTCTATTACTTTGCTCAGCTTAGTTGATTTATGCAGAATGACTAGTCCAATGTTGGTATCATTTTAAAAAGAGTCACCCTGGAAATATAAAAATCAAGGATGAGATACTCACAGTATAATGTTTATTGTCAGATTTGCCAGTTGAACTCTGAACAAACATTGACTTGATGGCCCAAATAACCCCGCCCATTACAATTCCTATAGTACATTTGATTTATAAGCAAAAATACATTGAACCAACAGTATTGAATAACCTGTATAGATTATGAAACCTTCAAGTATTTTTTGTGAGATGGTCAGTCCTTGTGTTTTTGTATATACTACTTGGGGAGCCACTTCTCCAGGTATTAATTAGGTGGCCTTTCCTGAAATAGATTGGCTTCCCAAGAGATTATCGACTCTGGCATAATTGCATCCCATCAGTTGTTAAAAACTATATATTAATGGAGTTACCTCTCTCTCTCTCTCTGTGTGTGTGTGAATGAATATAGGATATATCAAAAGTCAGAGCCCATAGATAATTTATTATATAATATTATATTAAATGTTTGGATTGGTTGGGATTTTTTCAGAAACATTTCCTTACTCTTGTTTGACACATGATCTTTGAATGTTTTCTTTAAAATAAACACATAAACAAAATAAAACATTGTAATTTACCTATGGGAAATGGAAGGAAGATAGCACAACTGAAAAGTAATATGCTATGAATGTAAAACATTGTATAGTGAGCTTCTGGCAGATACAATATCTTGGAAAAGTTGAGCTACCCAGGTATAATTTATTACTAAACCAAATTTACTTACTCATGTTTAGTGTTGAACATTTTGTTAGGAGTTACATTTATTTTTATGTATGGTTTACTTTTATCAGCAGCCAACTTTCAATATATTCACATAAAATGTTTTCCTATTCATATTATACAGACCTGCTCCAAGGCAATATGCAATCAACCCCCTTTCTCACATTCATGTATTTCTCTTTTTTAAAGTAATTTTTATTAAGTTTATAAGGATATAAATACAAAAGAAAATGGAAGTAGTGGGGAAATGGGGGAGAAAAAAAGGAAGGGAAAATATATAGTAAAGGGAGAGAAAGAAAGAAAGAAAAGCACTGATTCCAAATCATTTTAGCACAAAAGAATAAAATAATAACATTATAGACTTTTTACTTTTATGTGCTAATATGTATTAGCCATTTCTGTAGCAACAAGCCTACCTAATTATCAAAACCCAAAGTCAACGTTTCTTTTTTTTTTCCCCATCTCAAGCTGTTTCCAAGTAGAAACAGCGCTGGATGTGTTCTTTTCTTTGATTAAGGGCATTCACACATTTCTCAATAACTGCCTGAAGTGCATTTCCCAAAGTGTTGCAATTGTCTACTATTTGCACCTTTATAAATCAGAATTTTAGCTTTTGTCACACATTTATATTAATATAATCCACTACTTTCTCCCAAAACTTGGTATGTACAGGACATTATAGAAACATGGTTTAAAAAAGCATTCTTCTTATCTCTAATGAAACGCTGTGACATTCTGACATTCGTTTTCTATGCAAACTTAATGGAGTCCAATAAGTTCTAAATATTTTTTATAATATATATTGTTATGTCCCACCTTCTAAAATAAACAGTTAAGGCTGAAAGCAGCA